TCATTGAGCTGAGCTGCACACTTAAAATAAGAGCATAAAGGGCATCCAGTACTAAGAAAGGGGAGGGTTGGGAGGGAGGAGGGATAAAAATCTACCTGTGGGGTACAATGTATACTATTCTGAGATGGGTACTCTGGAAGCCCTGGCTTCAGCAAGATAAAACTCATCCATGTAACAAAAAAACACTCATACTCCCTAAATTTTGAAATGAAAAAAAAAAAAAAAAGAGAGAGAGAAATACCTACCTGAAAAAAAAAAGGCAAAAAATAAAATGACTTTCCATTTTGTTTGGATTTTTAGTTGCAATAGATGGTGAGTGTTTAATAAAAGCCCATCACTGTGACCTAATCTATGATGCTTACTTAAATTGTCATTCTATAAAAAGCAAACAAACAAAAACGCAAAGTACGAAGATAGCAGGGAACTTGCCAAAGACACAGAGCTCTCTAGTGTCAGAGTTAAGATCAGCTCCTAGAGCTCCTGGCTCATAATCTCTAGGACACTATGCGGAACAGAAGACGCGAAGACACCACTCAACTGACTTTTGAGCTGAATGGTCGTATTCCTTATTAATCAATTTTATTGGGGATGGCCTTTATGTTAAAAAATCCAAAACTTTCATTATGAGCAACTTAACATTTACATTGTTAAAGGGAAAGATATAAACTTAGAGATGATCAGTGACCTGGCTGACGCCGTGAAGTCAGGGAGTGGCATGACCCGCACCCTCTGGTGTCAGCGTGTTTTCCCTGTCACCCAGACCAGCTCCCACCTCTCAGTCCTCCTTTATTCCCACAGCGGGACCCGCAAGGGTGTCTACAATGTCTACCACGTTGGCACCCTCAAAAAGACAGCCAGAGATGAGGCATTTCTGTGCGCAGGCATCTTAGAGAAGCCTGATATTTCTGTTGTTTTAAGGCAATATCAAGGGATATCTTTCTGATGGGGACAACCACCAAGTTCGTATGGCTAAGAGATTGCAGGAGAGTTTAATACACTGAACTCAGAGAAGCTTCTGTTTGTTGTTTTTTCTCACACAAACCTTCCCTCTGACAGCTGCTATATTCTTTTAAAATGTTGAAATTGCGGCTTTGGGGAATATATAGGCCAGGAAGGTATAAAATTAATGACTTTTAGGCTAGCACAAGGAATCAGAACTTTTTCTTCATGATGTGACCGGTGAGTGTTGATCAATGCTTTTGACAAAATATTCATGATGTGTAATGTCTAATATTTACATGAATGTGGCAGTTTTGGTTTCCAGGGTCCCGAAGTAAGTACAAAATCTGAGGGAATTACCCTTGGTTATAGAAGCTTATGGAATCCCGAGAGGATATGTCTGCCTACAGATTGAGTTGGAGAAACAACTGTTATTCTATGATTATGTGGTTAGTTCCATGAGTAGATGTGAACTTACTTGGAATTATGTGTTAACATACCAGAATTTTCTCAATCTAACTTTGCATATCTGAGTGCCGCCAACTTTTCAGAGCCTCCTCTATGTAATGCCAAACAAATGATCAGTTCAGTGGCTGTTATGTTTTGCTTTGATGAGTCACCAGCTGTCCCTAAGAACTCCTCAGGTTACTCATCAAAGTGTGAGGTTCGTCATCAACACTGGCATAAACTCTGAGCCACAGATTCTTAATATAAAAATAAAAGGCATTTATTGGTCCCTTACTAAGTGCAAAGCACTTTTTGAGAGCACTTTACATGCAACCTTTTATCTGATCGTCATTACGAGCTTGTGAGATGGGCCATTATTAATTATTATCATTTTACAGTGGAAGAATGTGAAAAATGGTAAGGAAGTTGCCCAACTTCCCACATTTTCCGTATGTAGCAGAGTTGGTTCCGGGTGTTTGACGCCTAACGGTACCCCTAACGCTGTTCAGTAGTGTGTGGATACAGGCAAGCTGCAGTAACAAGCAATTCCAAATGTGCGGAGGCTAGCCTGAATATGCGTGTATTCTTTCATCGCTTTACAAGGGGGCTGTGATCTGTGAAGACTCCAGAGATCCAGGATTATCATGCATTGTACCATCTGGAGCACAAGGTCCTCCTCAGTCACCTGGAGTGGCAGAGGTAGAGACTGCTAGAGTTCTGTTCTGTTCTGTTTTTATTTATTTATTTATTTATTTTTATTTTAGCATATTATGGGGGTACAAGTGTTAGGGTTGCATATATTTCCCATGCCCCCCCTCCCCCTTGAGTAAGAGCTTCAAGCGTGTCCATCCCCCAAACGTTGCACATCTTACTCATTGTGGTTGTATACACCCATCCCCTCCTCCCCCTCCCACCCTCCCGACACCCGATAGATGTTACTCCTATATGTCCACTTAGGTATTGATCCGTTAATACCAGTTTGCTGGTGAGTACATGTGGTGCTGGTTTTTCCATTCTTGAGATACTTCACTTAGTAGAATGGGTTCCAGCTCTGTCCAGGAAAATACAAGAGGTGCTAGATCACTGTTGTTTCTTAAAGCTGAGTAGTATTCCATGGTATGCATATACCACATTTTATTAATCCACTCATGAATTGATGGGCACTTGGGTTGTTTCCACAGCTTTGCAATTGTGAATTGTGCTGCTATAAACATTTGAGTACAGGTGTCTTTTTTATAGAGTGTCTTTTGATCTTTTGGGTAGATGCCCAGTAGTGGAATTGCTGGATCAAATGGTAGATCTACTTGTATCGCTTTGAGGAATCTCCATATTGCTTTCCACAGAGGTTGAACTAGTTTGCAGTCCCACTAGCAGTGTAGGAGTGTTCCTCTCTCTCCGCATCCAGGCCAGCATTTGTTGTTTGGGGATTTTCATAAAGGCCATTCTCACTAGAGTTAAGTGATATCTCATTGCGGTTTTGATCTGCATTTCCCTGATTAGAGATGTTGAACATTTTTTCATATGTTTTTGGCCATTATTCTGTCTTCTTTTGAGAAGTTTCTGTTCATGTCCTTTGCCCATTTTTTGATAGGGTTCTTTGATTTTTTCTTGCTGATTTTCCTGAGTTCTAAATAGATTCTAGTTATCAGCCCTTTATCAGATGTGTAGCTTGCAAAAATTTTCTCCCATTCTGTGGGTTGTCTGTTTGCTCTCTTGACAGTTTCATTGGCTGTGCAGAAGCTTTTTAATTTCATTAGGTCTCATTTATTTTTGTTGCTGTTTTGATTGCCTTTGGGGTCTTCTTCATAAATTATTTGCCTAGACCAATGTTTAGAAGAGTATTTCCAACATTTTCCTCTAGAATTCTAATAGTTTCACACCTAAGGTTCAAGTCTGTTACCCAGCGTGAGTTGATTTTTGTGAGAGGTGAAAGGTGTGGGTCTTGTTTCCGTCTTCTACATGTGGCTATCCAGTTTTGCAACACCATTTATTGAATAAGGATTCTTTTCCCCAGTGTATGTTTTTGTCTGCTTTGTCGAAGATTAGTTTTAGTTCCTTTATATTTAGACCCCAAAGTAATACACATTATTTCCATCTCTCCCTGTTGGCTGCAACTAGCCACTATCTACATCTAACTTGAGTGTGGCTGGGAAATATGTGGGAATAGGCAGAATGATCAGAAAGTATGATGACCCAGGTTGTGTCCCCTCTACATTTTTTTTAAATTTTGGCATATTATGGGGGTACAGATTTTAAGGTTTCAATAAATGCCCTTTTCCCCCCTCCCCCCACAAGTCTGAGTTTCCAGCATGACCATCCCTCAGATGGTGCACATGTCACTCATTATGTATGTATATACCCGCCTCCCTCTCCCCTCCCATGTCCCCAATACCCCATTACTGTAGTACCTATGTGTCCACTTAGGTGCTACTCAGTTAATACAGTTTGCTGGTGAATATATGTGGTGCTTGTTTTTCCATTCTTAGGATACTCCCTCTACATTTTTATGTTGAAATGCCAACCCACAGTGTGGCTGTATTTGGAGACAGGACTTTTAAAAAAGTACTTAAGCTTAAATGAAGTCATAAGGGTAGAGCCCTGATCAGATAGAGTTGGTGCTCTGACAGGAAGAGGAAGAGACACCAGATCTCTGTGGCCACCTACAAGACAAAAAGAGAGCCCCCCACAGGGAACTAAACTGGCTAGCACCTTAATCATGGACTTTTAGCCTGCAGAACTGTGGGGAAAAAAAGTATCTGCTGTTTAAGCCATATGATTTGTGGCCTTTTGCTATGGCAGCCTGAGCAGGCATTAATACAGATATCCCCCCAGTCTGTGTCATAGCAACGTCATACATATATCAAAAAGTCGTTGGGAGAATTAAGCTGAATGATGTAAAAAAGTACTTTTTTTTAATTACTAAAAAAAAGAGCTGATGCTTAATAATTGTCAATTTCAAAGTTCTATTCACCTTGCATAAGACTAAAGCACATCTAAATTGTTGCTATTCAGTGATTTTACTGCTCATTTATCTTAACCCATCCCATCATTCTCTTTAAAAAACACAAATTATTTAAAAAGAAATGGAATGATCAGTTTCATAATTGTGTAATAGTCAGACCCTAAAAGAATTACCTGAAGGCTAGCATGAAAGTAGTTTAAGTGAGGAAGTATAAGTATGTTAATATTGATCTCTCAATTGCATTCACAAATACACCTGAATATTTTAACATATTTTGGTTGGTTATAGGACATCGAAATAAAATTATCCATGGGAATATTTACATATATATTCCATAGTAATAAAATACCATGTAGCTTATATCTAATTTTCACTCATTTACATTTTTTACACATTAGTGTTCTCAAATCCAGAAAATATAGTTTTTGTTTCAATTCATAAATACTAAGCACTAAATCACAGCAGATTTTTGAATTGTCAGTATAAATAATAGAAAATTCTACTGTTTTGATGGTGATATAATATTAGAATATTAGAATATTCTGAAAGTCAGCACAGAAATGTAATCTTGTCTTTGACTTTTAAAACTAAATATGTGCAGTTTAACTTGGAGGTATTTTAGTTATTTGCATTTTTTTTTTTATTCTTGTAGAGATGGGGTCTTGCTACGTTGCCAAGGCTGGTCTCAAACTTCTGGCCTCAAGTGATCCTCTTGCCTCAGCCTCCCAAAGAGCTGGGGTTACAGGTGTGAGCCACCGCACCTGGACAGGTATGTGTATTTTTATATAGTAATATGTTGATATGTATATTTTCTTCTTCTCTCCCTTGCTATCACCTTCCAGGTTCAAATGCATCATGTTTGAATAATTATATTTAAATGCTATAAAACTTCTTTTGTTTAAGTGAAATTACTTCTATTCAAGTCCGCAAAATGTTGAAAAAATTATTTAGCAGATATACATGCCAAATAAGAGTGTGTGTGTGTTTATGTGAGCTTGGAATGCTAGTATTGCTGGGGTTTGGGGGCCTGGAGATTTGTAAGTCTTCCTCTTTCCCATCGTGGTAGTCAGGTTCTGCAGAGAAACAAAAGCAATGGGAGAAACAAAAGCTTTTAGGGCTAAACAATCATAACCACAATGCCATTAACATACCTATAGATTTAGTAACAATTCATTAATATCTTGAAATAATTGATATTTACATTTTCCAAATTGTCTTATTTTTTATGGTTTTTTTAAATCAGCATATATGTATATGAATTGTAATTGGTTGAATTTTCTAGAAGTGTCTTTTAATTATGTGTCCCCATCATTTTTTTCCTTCAAATTATTCTTGTTGAAGACTTGATATTTGCTCTGTAGATTGTCTCTATTTACAGGTTTGAGATTTATATTATTAGGATGTCATTTCACAAACTCTTATTGTGTTTGTGCAAATGGTTATTAGATCTAGAATCTTGATCAGCTAGAGGTTAATTTTTTTGTATTTTTGTAAAACTACTTCAAAGGGAGTATCGTGTACTTCCATCGGGATGTACATAAAACCCGATTGCCTTTTTTGGTCATGTTTACTGTCTATTATCTCTTATTTCATTAGGTGCTGCTAATAGGTAAGATTCCAATTCTATCATTATTTCTGTGTTTATTAGTGGGATGGTACTATAAAGAGGAACTTCTCATTAACAATACATTGCCCTTAGGCAGATGCATCAAAAAGGCATTAGAATGCTTCCTTCTTTACTCTTATGTAACCATTCTCAAAATAATACGTTTGTTTCCTAGCATCTTCTAAAGATTTCCCAGTGAGATATAATATTTTCGACATTATCATCCATCATAGATGATCTAAGCATATTTCATGTTTTTAAATTCAAATTGTAGTTGTTACCTTCTACTGATACTCGAATTATATAGCATCGTAGGCCACTGGAGTTTACCGAGGCGTGTTCCTAGGTCCCTTTTCAGACATAATCCTATTGGTTTCCCATGGTGCTTTGTTTGCTTTTATGTCGGGATCTTCCAGGTTCATCTTCTACATTCTCCTGCTCCCTGTAGTAAGTTCTTATGTTTCATGTTGCCTCAGCATCCATTCTGAATACAAGTTTAACTTTCTCATGCCAGAAGCAGGGCTCAGCACCCTTGGCACGGATTGCCATTCTATACCACGCTTAAATCAGTTGAGTGGGTGACCAGAAGTGACAGCTGAGAGACGTCTCTCCTACCTAGCAGACTGGAGCCCCCCACTTTTCCTTTGCTTTTTATAGAGAGACCATTCAGGCATCTGCTCACGGAGCTTTGTGACCAACGCCCTATTCCCTGGTACATACATGTGCCACTAGTTGTCACACATGCTGTCTCTCTCTCCCTCCGCTTGACTCTTCATTCCTACCCTGGGTGGCAGGGAATTGAGGTCTGCCCGCTTGACTCATCGTCGGAATCTGTAAGTTAACAGTCTTTGAACTTGTTTCCTGTTGTGGTGGTGTATCGAATTTTCACTTTCGATCTGAAGAACTAGGGGCTTCCCCTGGCTGGGTTCCCCGCCCCCCCCCCCGCCCCGGATGCAGGAAGGTGGGGAGTGAGGAGGAATGGGGCAGGAGGGAGGAACCCACAGGTGAACTCCCAGCATCACATCAAAGGTCAGACATAAACTGGACGTGGGTCGGATAAGAGCCACAAGAGAATCTGCCAGGACAAACACGTTTCCAATGAGAGAGGCCCCAATCGAAGGTCAGACACAGAAGACCCACTGTAAAGACCACGTCTCGCCGTGACAGAAGTAAGGGCCTGGAAAAAGGCAGAATGTATTACAAGTTGTCTCTTTATACTACCCCCCAACCTTTTGGAGAATTAAAACCTGCATTCCTGCCCAAGACCAGTGATCAGAGGGGCTGGAGAGTGTCCTGTGTTCTTTGTACCACAGGATACAGCTCAAGGAAATTATCCAGACAGAGGTCACCAGGTTGTCTTCTCGGGAGATGCTGTAGTTAAACAGCAATGGCCCGAAGCTGAAAACTCCCTTTGTAACTTCTGTGTTTCTGAATATGGGTGGACAATGGCCCTTGAAGAGGGGAATCCACCATCTTCCTCATTTGCTGGCAAATTAGTAAACTCCTCTTTCTTTTTCATCAAGCTGCTAATCCTCATTCTTCATTTGGCCGTGGGGACAAGTTACTGCACTTTTGATATCATAGCTTCTCTTCATTTCCCCGTAGGGCAGGGGTCCTTGCTGCTTCCATACTGGGACCCCAATTTGTCTGGGGGTTCTCAAAACACTCCCTCAACTACAATCAGTCATTTTTCCAAGGGACCCTGATTTCTATTAGCAGGGAATGTTCTATGGAGACCGAAGTCTAGGTGTTATTAGAGCACATTGCTATTGTGCTTGCTACTGTTTCTATTAATGGGTCTTTCAGTAGATAGAACAAAGAAATATTTATTTTTATTATATATTAATATTATGAGTTTATACTATTAAAAATTCAAGAAGACCCCAAAGGCAATCACAGCAGCAACAAAAATAAATAAATGGGACCTGATCGAATTAAAAAGCTTCTGCACAGCCAAAGAAACTGTCAAGAGATCAAACAGACAACCCACAGAATGGGAGACAATTTTCATAAGATACACATCCGATAAAGGGCTGATAACTAGAATCTATTTTAGAACTCAGGAAAATCAGCAAGGAAAAATCAAACAACCCTATCAAAAGGTGCGTAAAGGACATGAACAGAAACTTTCCAAAAGAAGACAGAATAATGGCCAACAAACATATGAACAAATGCTCAACATCTCTAATCATCAGGGAAATTCAAATCAAAACCACAATGAGATATCACTTATCTCCAGTGAGAATGGCCTTTATCAACAAGTCTTAAAACAATAAATGTTGATGTGGATGTGGAGAGATAGGAACACTCCTACATTGCTGGTGGGACTGCAAACTATTTCAACCTCTGTGGAAAGCAATATGGAGATACTTTAAAGTGATACAAGTGGATCTACTGTTTGATCCAGCAATCCCATTACTGGGCATCTACCCAAAAGAACAAAAGTCACTCTATGAAAAAGACACCTGCACTCTAATGTTTATAGCAGCACAATTCACAATTGCAAAGTTGTGGAAACAACCGAAATGCCCATCAATACATGAGTGGATTAATAAAATGTGGTATATGTGTACCATGGAGTGCTACTCAGCTTTAAGAAACAACAGTGATATAGCACCTCTTGTATATTCCTGGATAGAGCTGGAACCCATTCTACTAAGTGAAATATCCCAAGAATGGAAAAAGAAACACCACATGTACTCACCAGCAAATTGGTATTAACGGATCAACACCTAAGTGGACATATAGGAATAACATCTATTGGGTATTGGGCAGGTGCGGGGGGGAGGGGAGGAGGGGATGGTTATATACAAACATAATGAGTGAGATGTGCACTATCTTGGGGATGGACACGCTTGAAGCTCTGACTCAAGGGGGGAGGGTGGGCAAGGGCAATATCCATAACTTTAACATTTGTACTCCCACAATACGCTGAAAAAAAATTCTGAGTTTTAATGTACTCCAACAGTCTTTTTTTGTGGTTACACGTGTTTTATTTACAATTCATCTATGTAACAGAAACACTTGTGGGCCCTTAATATTTTGAAATAAAAAAAAAAGAACTAACATAAAAGTAAAGTAAAATAAAAATTCACTTCTTACATTAAGGTAAGAATAATATTCACCTGTTATTTTTTACAGTATTTTAAGGATACAGATTAAAGATAATGCTCCACTCTGGCTTGCATTGTTTCTAAAGAAAAATCCCTTGTCATTCTCATCTTTGTTCATGTATACATAACATGGCTTTTTTTTTTCTGGCTGCCCTTAAGATTTTCTCTTTATCACTAATTTTTAAACAATTTGCTTATTATGTGCTTGGTGTAGTTTTCTTCATGGTTCTTGTTCTTAGAATTTGTTAAGCTTCTTGGGTATGTGGGTTTATAGTTTTCATCAAGGTAGGGACATTTTTTTTGGTCACAATTTCTTCAAATACTTTATCTAACTCCTCCTTCATCTTCTCTCATTTAGGGACCCTAAATTACATGCATATTTGGCTACCCTAAGTTCTTCAACCACTCGATAAAGTTCTTTTGATGATTTTAAATGATGTTTTCCTTTGTGCTTCATTTTGTACAATTTCTATTGCTTTGTGTTCACCTTTTCCAATTTTCTTTTCTGCCATGTCTAATCTTTGTTAATCTCATTCATCCAATGTATTTTTTAGCTTACACTTTGTAGTTTTCATCTCTAGTATGATTACTGAAATCTTTTTCATGTATTTGTTGTCTCTTCTTAGCTTCCCGAGCACATGGAATACAGTAAAATAATTGTTTTAATGTAATTATCTGGTAATCCTAAGTTTCTGTAAATTTAAATCAATTGATTTTTCTTTTCTCCTCATTATGAGATGGATTTTTATGCTTCTTTACATGCTTGGTAATTTTTATTGAATGCTAGACATTGAGAATTTTGCCGTGTTGAGTGCTGGATAGTTTTATGTTCCTGAAAAAAGTTTTGAATGTTGTTCTGGGTTGTAGTGGAATTTGCAAACAGATTGATCCTTTCAGATTTTTCTTTTAAATTATGTTGGGCAGGGTCAGAGGAGTCCTCACTGTAGGGCTAATTACTGCCCACCACTGAGG